TTATTATATTTAACAGATAACACAATTGAATAATAACAAAAGAGTAAGGTATCATAATGTTTTTTTGATAAGAAGTAGTTTGAAATCTTCCTCCTCCTCTTTTGTACCAGTTTCTTTTCTCTTTAAAACCAAATAAAATTCTTATTAGATTAATAATTGATTTAGATAGGTTTTTATTTTACCAATATAAACTTTTCTTTTTTTCTTTATATATTTCCTTTACTTTCTCAAAAAAATAAAAATTTTTTTTACCTTAAGACTATAGAGGTTAAGTTGAAGTGACAGTTTTGATGAAAGGTTGACAGTAATATTGAGATTAATAAGGAACATTTTCAAAATTAAGCAATTTTTTCATTTTTTTTAATTATATCTAGAGACTATTGGCTATTAATGGATATACTATATTTGCTTTAAGAAGTTTTATCAATAGTATAAGTATGATCAACACTATATATATCCCATAATATCTATACTAGGGTTTATTTAATCTTAGAATTTGAAATTTAATAAATTTAATATATATAGCCTGATTAGGTGAAAATAAATAAATAAATATTTATTTATTTATTTATTATGTTTATTTAATTAAAATCTATATTAATTTTAGATCCACAAATTAAATTACAATATATGAAAGATTATGAATGAGAAGAATAATGGATGAACTAAATCAGAAAAAACAAATATAATTGTTAGTCTTTTACTTGGAGATAAAATGTATCAAATGTTTAATGGAAAAAAAGGTGAATCTGATTTTTTTTTTTACAAATTATTAAAATTGATACATTATATAAAAAATGATGATCTTGTTTTGATTGGACACCATCACAAAGAGCCGAAATATAAACATTTAAGAGATTGTTACCAAATCATTGCAAATAGTCCAAAGCCATATCTCAAAAATGTTATGTTCCGATTGATGAAGCCTGATAAAATACCAAAGATTATCGAATTTTCTCCCAAAAGAGGGATGGTAGTTACTGTATATTTGAAGATTTGTGTAATGAGTCTAAAAAAATACAAGAAAAAATCATCCCTTACTTTACTAAGGGATGCCATTCCAACATCAGTTCAATATATGTAACTCAAAGTTTTTTTGACTGTTCAAAATTAATAAGAAAAAATTTAGATTATATTGTACTCTTTAACGGAGTGAGCACATACTGTATAATGAACTGGTTGATATTGTTAGACATTATACAAAAAAATGGTGTAATGCTGTTGATATAATTGATAAAAATTTGCAAGGTTGGCAGTTCATCATAATTGACTTGACAAGAGCGAAAGAGGATCCGCTCTATATTTGTTTGGGTTGGGATACACCATTAGAATTAAAATAAATTAAATTAAAATTTATAGATGCGAGTATTTTTTTCTGCTCTTGACGTAATCAAGCACCATGCATAAAGTTTGTAAATTCTGACGTTACTAAGCCATATGGCCAAGCAAGAGAAGAAACGGAGCTTCGAGTCTTCGACTTTGGTGATGTACAGTATGTCTTCGCGAATGGTCCATAAAAGTTTGTAATATTTAGCTAATTGCTTGACCATTAAACTATTGGGACGATACATGAATTCTATCCATTTATGTTGGATGATGACACATGCTCGCATCTTTTTCCCTACTTCCCTTGCACGTTTAAGTCCATAATTCATAATAATGCAATGCACGCATATCATCGAATGTACGATCAGATGAGGCAGAACCTCGAAGCTCCGCTTCTTCGGGTTTATGTTTAATTTTCAAAAAATCTTCATACTTAAGTTCACAATATTTATTACCAGTACATGTAGATTTCTATAGTTTTATTTCTTTTTCCAGTATATATTAATTCGTTGCATGATAAACAAAAGACAATTCCTATATTAGAAGCATATGATGTACCATCTTGAAAGCATATCATTTTTTTTGCATCTAAATATTTTTTATTTCTAATAGATAAAAGTTCATTTTCTCTGAAATATGTTAAACGGGACCAAATTCTTTGTTTCCACTCTTCAGGAGTTTCACCAACATGAATTTGTGGCATCCAGCAATATTCGGTCCATTCTTCAATTGTATAAGTTCTATAAATTGACCAATTTCCATTTCAATAGCTTAGTCGATTATTATAAAATTTTGTAACTTACACATGTACAGTATACCTGTAACAAAATTCAATTTTGTTTATTGCCCTGAGTAGATAATGATGATGACAACAATATAAGCACATCATTTTCTGATAATGAAGAAGAAAGCATATAAAAATTATTTCATTTTGATGCATTATATTAAAACGTTTACTATTAGCACAAGTGAAATATATATATTTTTATACAGCCCAAATAATATTCTTGGATGAATTCATTAACACAGATTTACAATGGATTAAGATTTTGAAGCAGAGAGTCAACACATTCTTGATGCTCAACTTTATGCGAGCTATTTTTTATTTACCAATGTTCTTTAATGACCTATAAACTTTTTCGATCCTTTTCCTCTTTCGCAAAGCATAAGCGGTAACTTGTAATAATTTTCTAACATTTATGCACATTTATCAATAATTCATGGCAGTCAGCAAGAAATAACGACTGTTAAAATCACAGCGAAATCTTATATTTCATAACTGCTATACACTGTATAAAAGTAATCAAGCTTATGATATGTCTTGCCTTTGCTTCACATTCAAATGGTTAAAACAATACATTAACCTTCATATGTTATTCCAACACCTTCCCATGTTGCAATATTGTTCGGTACCCATAACCAACTTCTCACTGTTGGCTGATCTACAACTGAATTTGAGCACGTTAGTTTTTTCAACTCCTTTGTGTATTTTTCAATTCGCTCTGTGAATAAAAATATAATTAGACTAAAAAAAACCTCATAAGATCTAATTAGGCGTATAAAAAATACTCACAATTAATGCGTATAATAAATAGTTCAAAAACTTCAAGTATTTTTCGACTTCATCAAATGAAAATGGAAGTTTTGCCGACTTAATCTGCAAGAATTTGTAAAAGTGTTTTTGATCGAGCTGAAGTTTGCTAAGTGTAATCCTGTCACCTAATATAATTAATTGAGGTAAGATAAATAATGTTCAAAATAATTGGTACAATAAGTAATACTGTACGTTACCGATGCCTTGCACCATGTAAGTGCATATGTTCCTTGCATATTTGGCGTTTTTATCTAAGTAATCACGAAGAAGGGAAATTAAGCCAAACATTGCCTCCTTAATCAACTTTTCCGTGTCTTCTTTAACATGTTTTTCTACAGGATTTTCTGGTCCACCAGAAATCTCAATAAATACTAATTCTTTGTTGCTTCCGGTTTTGAAACCAATTCCATAAACTTTTTTAAAGTAAAATCGAATTCTGGAAACACAGATTTGACATCTTTTATACAATTCGCTTGAACTTCGATCCAATCGAAAACATATTCTCGATATATTGATTCAATGGCCTTAAACAGAAGAGCTATTCTGTCTACAATGTACTTTCTCTCTCCAATATCTCGATTTAGAGTAGCTTCGCTAAACATTGAGAAACTGAGTTGAAATAATGTGAGTCAGTCAGTAATGTTAAAAAAGAGGATAAGGTACTAGTATACTCACAAATCATATAGAATAATTTCGCAATATTTTCTAAATGGATGATCGGGATTGAAAGAAGTTATAATAGAATATTTGAATTTATCCTTTTCGTTTCGAACTAATTAATAAGGAAATCGTTAATACAGTATATTTATACCTTAAAACATCTAACTAAACTATCTTTACTTACTGAAAATGAGTCAATAAGCCAATGGCGAATTTCCGATGGAATTGTTACAACTTGATTTGCTTTCATAATAACACAATCTTGATTAATACTCATTGAAAAATGTTTTGCCAAATATTTTACAGTATGTTCATAAAGAGTTGGTTTGTGTGGTGTGATCAAGTCTTGATTCCTTGGTGCAGACTGTATTTGATGAGGCGGAGTATGTGACCTATCATAACCAGAATTATTAACTTCGCTTGAATTATTATAGGCAACATAAGGTCTTATCAATATTCTAACCTTTCTCATAAGATATAACTGTTTCCGCTTTGATATACGGACAGACATGAAATCATCATCGGACTAAATACAAATAAATAATTAATATCTGACAGCCAAAATTCTCATAAATTACGCCCCGTACCTCATTATGATCCTTTTCTTTTGACATAGGTTTTATCTCACCGTTTATATTTTCAAATGTTCCACCATTTATTTCATTTATTACAGTCCCCGCGTTTTGGATGTGAACTTGTTTCCGCGTGCGCTTCTTTTCCCATTCCATTGCTTTTGTTCGATCAGGTTTAGGATCCTTACGCATGAAAATTCTAGAAATTAGTAATAATTTTCAACTAATGTTTCCTATCCCATTGGAACATCATCGCAACCTAATAGGCCACCTGTGTCCCAATGGGTCCAGTGTTGGATCAGGTAATAGCCTTTAGCATCGGATAACTGGGTAAGTCATCTGTGCGCCAACACCAGTTTCGTGGCTCAGCTAATAGCCTTGAATGACGGGCGACCTAGTAGGCCTCCAGTCACGCCACTTTACCTTCTAAGAATTTTACTTGCCTTTTTGTATTTATCAAAAAGCACTTGTGCGCTTTCTCTTTCCTGCATACTACTTTTATGGGAATTAATTATTGTTAAGAGGGATTTTATGTAAAAATCTATTTTTAGATCGAATGGTTCTGAGGGTACACTCATTTAAAAAGTCGAGAATACTCCAACTTTCAGGGTTCGGCTGAAGTACTCGGGCATGTTTAAGTATAGTATATCTACAAACAGAAAAGGATACGAGAGAGGCCGTAATGTTAGAAAGTAAAGAACTTAAATCGAGTTACGAACTGGTTTCTTTTTTGCGTAACCGTCCACTTTTTACGCGACAATTATCACGCGATCAGGTTGATTTCAAAGTCACATGATTATGATCGTTGACGATAATAAATGCCCACAAGATTCTCATCCCTAGACTCTTTTATTACACTAGATTTTCGGAAGAAATTATCCCAACCATATCTACGAAATTTTTGTCTATTTAATATTATTCCCCATAGGAGATTATGTAATTTCGAACCTACAGCATAAATTCAGATTAGCAACTAAGGTAAAAAAATAATAGTGCAAGACATTACCGATTCACACTTACTACCGCCTCATATGCAAGAAATTTATTGCTATCAAATACGATACTGCGCAGAATTCGGCACGTGAAGATGCTTATTATTTCATTGCCGGAAAATTTATTAGATACACTGCGCCAAATTTTGTTGAGGCGCGTGATGTTAAGTATTTGACGAGATTCATGTGAGTAATTTCACTGTATATATTGTACGCATAATGGTCAGAGATTTTCTCGGAATGCCGATATATAACGAGAAGAATAATATGTTCGTTTTATTTTGGAATATCTATAGAGTGGGGAAAATCGATTAAAGTCGTGATGACATGTTTCAAGAAGCTAGCTGAACAATAAAACCAATATACCTTATTATTAATTTGCGGATAATCTCGTTTGATCCAGGATATTAATGATAATAGATGTTAGTAAGTTTTAATTAGATTTTATTAGTTTCACTTGATTTTTTCGCTTATATTTACACAAGACGGATAAAAAGATTCATTAACCGGGACATCAACTTTTTATAGAATTTGTAGGATCGATCTTGGAATATATCTTTGGAGGAATATGACCGCATCACGAAAATCTGATTATCAGATACTCCTTAATTTACAATAGAAAAATTCGATGCTACTCGGCATATAAATATCAACAAGGGACATCGGTTTAATCCGTGTAAATTAATTATATGCTAGAACTTTCCGGAAAAATAAACTTGCAGTATATAGCGCTTTTTGGCTTCTTATAAGCTGTGTTATCCTGATAAAATCAAAAAAAATTTCCTTATGCAATATAAATTAATAAGCAGAAAAATAAGGATTGAATGCATTACTTGCCATGTCATATGATAATCGTGAATGACGATGCAAGTGCAAGCCCATGAGTGAGAATAACCTGCGGTCACGTGACAGAGTGGACATAGTCTAACCAAGAGGTCATAACCTAAACTAAGTGGTCATAATATAATTATATTATGACCACTAAAGTTTGTCTAAATGTGTTTCAATTACTTTAATCTTTTTTTCAATTCTTGATTAATATAACTATTAAAGATTGAAACATTATTCGAATTAATTATATTTTCTAATAGCTGTAAATGTTGAACTACAAATATTTTAATGGTACATATATATATATACTTAATTGTTTATTTTATATCAATCAAATTATCAAATGTAATACAATATAACTATATATTTTTATTAAAACAATGGTAATGTATATAAGATAGCATATATAATATATATAATGTAATTATCAATAGTATTAATTTTCTAAAAGAATGTATAAAATAATTAAATGTGTATTTAAAAAAAGATAATTATATA